CGTATGCTTGCCAGGCATTGACCGCATATACAACAACATCAACAGTAAGCGTACTCGAGGCAAGTTGAATCAAAGACGCTTACTTAGCAATAAATTATTAAATAGAAAAGTACTTACGCTGCGCCGTTTTGTACTTAAATAAAACTACATTTAAAATATTAAAATAAATAACACAAATATATATAATAATTATAAAACATTTAATAAATAAGAAAGTACATACGCTGCGTCGTTATGTACCTAGATTAAGTTAAAAGTAAAAATTCAAATAAAAATCAGAACAAGAAATGCACTCATAAGAAGCACACCAAGTTCTCCAACCATACAACCTTTCTTTTATTTTTAAAATAGTAATCTATGTTATAATAAGGAATAAATATAAATTTATAAATTTAATAAATATTGGCGATTTAATAAAAATTACTTGTAACGATTACACCATATCAATTTGTCTTCTCCAAGTGTGTGCAGGTCTGCCCCTTCTTCTGTTACCCACCAGGTACCACGCAATCGCCATTCTTGTAGTGTCACCAATTGGGCTACGTAAAGTGTGGCCTCCCCATATGCGTTTTTTGACTTTGGTTTTGTCCTCAAGATAGCAGTTGTTTATAATAAATGGATCTTGGACGTTAGCATTAATGCGCATAACTTTTGTTTTGACAATATTGATTTTAATTCCCGCTCTGTTTATCGTGGTTATTCAAAGACCAATGCCTCTGCCAAGATTACGTCCAGTACGCTGCTGAGCAGCAACGACGATATTATGCAACCCTGTCGACCGCTGGTTTTTATAAGTATTTTGTCGCTTAGATATTTCTCGAGCAGTATCCGGCAACTGGCATTCTCGTATAAAGCTTTGATAAGCGGGATGATCTTTTGCGGCACGTCCTTATGAGCAAGTGCGTTTCATATGACGGTGTGACATAATGCATCAAAGGCCTTTACGAAGTCTATAAATAATAAATAGAGAGGTGATCCCCACTCTACAGACAACGATTGCTCTTAGGCTGTTTATGTGATCAATATAAGACTTGTGATGTCGGAATCCAGCTTTTTCTTCGCATAGTGTTGCTGTTAATGCTGTTAAAAGTCTGTTAGTTATGACACGCACTATTATTTATTTAATTATGTTCAGTAAAGTAATGCCTCGCCAATTAGTTCTTTCTGTTAAATCGTCCATTTTTCAGAGCTTTGTGATGATACCCTCTTTGAATTCGGCTAAAAGGTTCTCAGTATATCAAAAACGTTTTATTACGGGTGGATAATATGTGCGATTGTATGTGGGTAAACTTGGTTCCGGTGCTAAACCATCGGACAAGAGTGCTTTGCCGTTCTTTTTTTTATTTAATTTAAATTCAATATGTATTCTGTCACATAGTATGGTGACATTTCACAATTTTTTTAATAAATACTATTTAAGTCTTGATAATATACAATTAAAGTAGTTCTTCCTGTAGAGAGCTACTCTTTTCTTTTTAATTTAAGATTTTTATAATAAAATTTGATTTTTATAATAAAATTTGAAGCGGCGTTTTCCTTTTCAGTCTCGTAAATATATTTGAGGGGGACATCAAATTCGAAGCAAGGATGTTTGGATGAATTTGTATTCGTTCATAGTATTTTCTAGCTACCTTTTTTACTTCATCTCTTACCGGGATTATCCTAAGGTCCCGATGGATTTGAATGTTAGTTACATACCATGGTGCATTTACTATTTCTAGTAAAGTTTTAGACTGAAATCTTTGAAGAATTTCTGTGTTAGATGTTGAGCCAGTTCCCCATAATTGAATGCCATAGGTCCATACTGGTTTTAATACACTTTTATATAAAATGAGTTTATTCTTTAGATATATTGAAGATTTTTTATTCAGTAGCCAAAACATTTTTCTGTATTGAATCCCAAGGGATTTCCTTTTGTTAAAAATATGTGTTTTCCATGTCAGACGTCTATCTAATTGCATGCCCAGGTATTTAGTGCTGCTTGATTGTGGAATTATTATATTATTAAGTTTAATTTCCGGGCAGGTGTCTTTTCTCATTGTGAATGTAACATGAGTAGATTTTGTTTCATTTGCTTTCATGCGCCAATACTGCAACCATTTTGATATATGATCAAGACCAGCTTGTAGTTTGAAAGAGACTACAGAGGGATCGTTTGCACTCGCCAGTATAGCTGTATCATCTGCAAATGTACCGGTTACAATTCCTATCGTCTTCGGTAAATCGTATGTGAAAAGCAGATAAAGGGTTGTACCGAGTACACTGCCTTGTGGTACTCCAGCTGTAATATGATATAAAGAAGACATTTCATTCTCATTGTTGACATAAAAGAGTCTTTTCAACAGATACGATTTTATGAATGTATAATAGTTAAGTGGCAGAAGTTTTTTACATTTGAAAAGAAGTCCTTGGTGCCATACTCGATTTAAAGACTCAATAGCAGAACCCCACAACTCTGTGAAAATGCTTTTTGTTATGGGTATAACCAATAGTTATCTAAGCAATATCTCTTTGGAAGCCACACAGATGGACTTTCCAATGGCTTTATGTGCAGTAATATCCTCCCTCTCATATATAAAAGTGGACTTGTGGCGACATCACACAAAGATGACAAAACACAAAAAGACCAGAAGACACAATACAGGATGGCAGCATTAGTATGCAGTAGACATTTAAAAAGAAAATACACAAAAAAGCGACGCTCGCTATAGTTTAATTTTTTCGATAAAATATAAAATTATTTGTGCCAAAAAATATATTGAATAATTAACAATTTGTGTAAATAGAAACAAAATAGCGTTTACACTAAAGACTTATAGCCCTCCACACAGATGCATTTATAGCCGTTCCATCTTCATTCTGATGGTCCTTCAATTTAAATCCTCCCACCCCCAAACCACTATCACTCACTGATAATTCCTAACCTATGTATTCGTTATACAATTCTTTCGTGTTATATGTCTTATATACCTCTGTGGATTTAAACAACAATGCATTCATTTATATATACATAAATGCATCTAAAGAATAATTGTATCTAAAGAATTTAATTATTGAGAAAATAACTTAATAGCAATTCAAGATAATCAAAAGCGCAAAAAGGATTTAAAACGAAAATTTCATAAAATTCCGCAACTTCTTATACTCTTTCAGGTTTTTGCGCATTTCTACGTGTCACTACACATCAAGATCATCCGAAATCTGTCATCAATCAACTTCTTAAATTGATGTTTTTCCTATCGCGAAATTATTGCAATCAACTCAACTTCATTTAGATGTTAAGAGAACAAATGCAGAAAGTCAACTGAATATAAGCATCATATTATTATAATAAGCATTATTTTACACAGCCAATTGTTACTACATGTTACCAGCTCTGCGCACAAGTATTACATCACTCAACAAATCATATGACGTTCATGAAGTACCAACCTTCAAAAGAATATGTGTAAAATACCATGACATTTCGATTAGTCAGAAAAAAAGTGACAGCCATTTAAATGAAACTGCTTTTGTTATTTTCAAAACAATTTCTTATGTTAATTTATCATTGCTTCTTGATGAAAAAAAATACTGTACAAGCTCAGTAATGGCTTCAAAAGTGTTATCCGGATTTTGCTCCATCGAAAAGAACCATTTGTTATTGGTTTGCTGAATTTAAACGTTGTCGTACAGACACAGTTGATGGTGAACGTTTTGGTCGTCCAATTGAGGTGATTACGCTTAAATCATAATTCATAATCATAATAAATCTGTCGGTGAAGCACGTCCGAAGCGTCGAGAGACACAACAGTCGGCTGGAAAGCTTATGGCTTCAGTATTTTGGGATGCACACGGTATAATCTTCATTGGCTTTCTCGAAAAGGGAAATACCGTCAATAGTAACTACTACACGGCATTACTGGATCATTTGAAAGCAGAAATTGTGAAAAAACGACCTCATATGGCGAAGAAAAAAATTTTGTTTCACCAAGACAATACACCATGTCACAAGTCAATAAAAACGATGGCAAAATTGCACGAATTACACTTCGAATTGTTTCCTCATCCACAATATAGTCCAGATCTGGCCCCCAGAGACTACTGGCTATTCGCTGATCTCAAAAAAATGCTCGCCGGCAAGAAATTCATCTCTAATGAAGAAGTAATTGCTGAAACTGAAGCCTATTTTGAGATAAAAGACAAATCCCTCTACAAACACGGCATTGAGAAGTAAGAGAAGCGTTAGAATGATATTGATAAGTAAATTGATTTTTGACAGAAAAAATTTGTTTTTCTTAGTTAGTCACACAACTTATTGATTGATGTGTTATTTGACTATAACAAGACACACAGGTAGTACGGTAGATAAATTTTATTGCAGATGTAGCCGTACATTTTTCGTAGAGAGCCTCAGTAACGAAAAAGAGCATTTAACACCACCTGCTATAAGCTATATATACCAAGGTTATATTTTCAGATATGAGTATTAAAAAATTTCCGGCAGCAGAGGAAAAATGGGTTAATTACATCCTGCAACAGCATTTCGTGCACACAAATTGCCGAATTCAAAAACGTTTAAAAAAATTCAGCAAAATCACGTAAATTATATTATTCACTACTTCATTTATAACTTAAGTGAATTTATTATCATTTTCAATATTATCACTTAAACGAAGTCATATGTTATTATCATTTCTATTATTATAACTAGTATTATCATAAATATTATTATTATTAATTATTTATTTACTATTATTGTTATTTCTCCTAATTACTGTCGTTATTAATTATTATATTTATATTATATTATAGTTTTGATTATTATTACATATTAATTTATTAAATTATATTACTAAAATGAAAGAATTGAAAATATGAATAAATACGATAATTTCTTAAGCTTAAATACATGTTTTAATTGTGCTGAAAATAATACAAAAGAAATTTTATAAATAAATAAAAAGTATCAAAAGCCTCAGATGGTTTTTCGCAACTCGCGGCTGAGATTACAAATACTACAGTCGAAACACTATTCCGCGATGATTTCGCATGCACGTTCGCGAGTGTTAACAATAGCTGGGCGATAATATTTTTAATCTTCCGCGTTGTTAAATGCTGGCTGGGAAACAAGATATTTTATTGAAATCTCAGAGCATTCACCACAAACCATAAAAATACAACTTTCAAAGTTTACGGACATAAATTTTTATAACACTTTGTCTGACTACATCATTGCTACGGGGACAATTTGGATTAATATTTCAAAACAATGTAATGTAAATAAAACTGACTAAAAGTATTTTATATGCAAGTTCATCACCGCAACAAATATTATATGAAGACAAAAATCAATTTATTGATATTATACAGATTTTATTGTATACCACTGCTACTAAATAGTCATGTAAGTAGTTTGATTTAATGCTAATTCATAATACAGAAATGAAGTTAATTCAAAATAAATTCAGTATGATAAAACTTTGAAGCCATTAAAACCATTTGCTCATTCAGTAAATTTAATTTTGAAGTTTTAAACATTAGAATAATTGTAAAATACAATTTAAATAATTCGTTTGGTTTTTATATCCAAATTCTATAGCCTAATATTATTTTTGTCATTCATATATTTTATATAAAGAAGTAATTTGCATTAGCTAACTCAAATAATTTTAATTTATGAATCCATAGTTATAAACATTATCGATATAATTTTGTAACATGCATTATCGAAATTAGTGTTACAACATTCATATTTGAACAGTTTTCTGTGATGAAATCGGTGTTTGCTTTAGATGCAAGTAAATGGAACGCATACGAGAAACGTCCTTTCCACATTTGTTGACTTTTGGGTTAAAATCACATAACTTTGCAATGCGTTCCCACTCTGCAGCTTGTTCTGTGTGTTGTCCATCATTTTCCAAGACAGCAGAATGTTTTTCTGCATTCCGTGACGCAGTTTTTGTTTTTTCAATGGAGTCGTCAGTTTGACGTAACCAATGTTCAAGTTCCTGCTTAGCTTGTTGGCGTAATTCCTCTTTTTTTCGTTGCTCTTCTTTATCTTTTTCTTCTAAACGTTTTTTCTGTTCTTCGCGCCACAAACGGATTTTTTCTGGTTCTACTCGCGAAGGCGGAGGACCAGACAAACCTACAAGATCATTTGATTCACCACTAATTAACTCGAAACTGCCTGTCGACGACCCTAATCCTCCACATACGGGTATACCCTCGTCGTTTGTTGGCACAGAGTCATCTATGTTAGATGTATTAACATTACTCTCCAATATTATTTCAGCTTCTAAGTCACCTAATACAGAATGCTCACGTGCTAAGAATTCTGCAGCTGGATCAATTTCTTCTCTATTGGCACCAAAATCATCAAAATCCATTTTTTAATGGGCGTATCTCAAAAAATCAAATGTGGAGAATTCTTTAATCTAGGTATTTATTTTACAAGTAGTATTTAGTACTTTATCAAATACTACTAACACTATTTTGATATATGTGTAAAATTACGATTAACGAAATTTCACCACTTTGTATGAAACTACAGCTCTTAATTTTAAAACTACGTATGCCCACGAAATGATTATATTTCATTAAATTCCTTTCTTATAAGCTACTAACAATACGTCATGATTATTTTAATTAAATGCCATTACATCGACAAACTTGATGGACAACGCGAACTATAGTGTTGATATTACATCTAAAATGGCATTTACACAGCCCGAAAATGGTTCATTTTGGTCAAAAAGCGAAAATGAGAAGCGAATGGCTTGCATATAAAATATCAAGTGCGAATGAGCCATTCCATCACATTCTGTACGAATGCGTCCCAACGACGTTCGCATGCGGTCCAATTATGTTCCAAATGAAAAGGAATACATTGAAAATACTCTAAATAAAAGCTTTTCATTGCATTTTGACAATTTGAGAAAGCTGTTTTTGACATATTTACAAAAAAAGGTAAACAAATGTTTGGTGGGGTTGCATTTTTTTCAAAACGATGCACCTCTTTTTAGAAATTCTATTTCCCAAAAAGTACTTAATCGAAATAAAAAATATGTTTTCAGTTTAAATTGTAAGGTTTGAAGGTATATATAACCTTCATTCAACATTTTTTTGGCACAGGCCAAAATCAAATCAACAGGCAAGTTGAAAAATCAGCTGCTTGAAATGGGAACAAATGAATTACAACGAATGTAAACACTTTCAAATGGTTCATTCAAATTGAGCCATTTTTGGCTAGTGTAAACGCCATTTAAGCTGTTTACAATTTCTCTAAAAAGTTAAAGTGGAATTTTTGTCAAAAGATACCACGGCTTTACTCCAGCCAATGGATCAAGGTGTTATATAAACTTTTAAAACGCATTATTTACAAAAACTTTTGGAATGCTCATACAAATAAAGGAAAATCACAACATTGAATATGCCATAGAAAACATATATCATACATAAGCATAGGAAATACAAATTTTATCTCAACATATTTTGCAAGTTTTTATGGTCAGAATGCACCGTTAGATTATAAATAATGATGTTCTTAAAACGGCGGTAGAGGCTGGTTTTGCATTATTACTTTATAGATGACGTCAGCCAAATTTTAAGAAATGACAGAGAACAGCTTACGAATGAGAAATTACTGAAGCTGATTTAGAATTAACATCCCAAATTCTGAAGAAGTGTTTTAATAAAATTGATTAAGTACTCATTGACTTTAAAATTGCAAATTCACTTCCCTAGCAAAGTTCGGAAGTTAATGAAGCTATGTAATCATATGAAAAAGTTCTAAAAGAGCAACAAAAAAGTCAAGTAGTTAACATTATATATATTTCGTAAGCAGTAATGAAGGTCTTAAATATATATATATATACTAGATAACCCGACAAACGTTGTTTTGCCTTATAAATTATTTCTAGTTTCTAGATAAATTCTAGTGTAGACTCTTATTCCTTATTATACTTACTTATTATAAGTGTGTAAGTATGTGGTATATGCATGAAATAGGCATGGAGCGCCATGAACGAAAAGGAAAATAAAAATAACAAACGCCAAACAATATTATTTTAAAGTTATTATAGTTTATTTATTAAATTATTAATTTAAAATCAATAGATTTGTATGATACCAAGTTCCCTGGCAACAACTGTTGTATCTTCAAATTTAAATTGTCTTGGATTGACTGTAAATAATAATAATGATAATGGACCAGTAACATTAACCAACAACAGTCGAAGATAAAAGCACTCAGTGTGTCTTCGATGAACTGTAAATAAGCGTTCGATTTAAATAAATTGAGACATGCATTAACTGGTGAAACTTGCTTGCGGGGCATCTATTTTTTTGTTTGAGCCCATGTGAAATAGCGTGGTACTTGTGAATAGAGTAATGTTCTTGCAAAGGCACCAAAATCATCCGTACTATTACAAAATTCAAAAAATGCAGTGAGTGTAGATTTAGGTGGATTTACCACGATCAATCACTGTCTCGTTCGTGAAAAATACACGCTGACCGTTTTCAAGATGGACGGCTAACTGAACAGCTGCTGGATCCCGTTCTTGAATTAGAAAACCGAAGATACGCCAAGCAGCTTCATTGGAGCTGATGTACCGAACAATTTGGTAGAGCGTAATTTCACCGTTTTTGTTCATTGGAGGAGCATTTACATTAGTATTTTCTACTCTAAACGCAGCCATATCACTGCCTTTATAGACATACTTGTAAATATATTTGATGCTCTTCACAGAACTGCAAAACTCAACAATAATATGAGCATTGTATGTCTTGCTTAGCAGAGGCGAATACGGCACCACCCGCCATTGTCCCCTATTATCGGGATTTCTTCGACGATATATTGGATATCCGTCGGTATTTGTTATAGTATCATTAGTGAAATCTTTTGAAAAAATTTTAGTACATTTTCCATCTGCCATGCCAGGCGAAGACGAAGAAACGAAGTGGATGTAATGCTCGATGTACTTGTTGGCGTAGTTACATAAAATATTAAGAAAAAAATTTTTGTTTTTCAAAAATATAAACAACATTTATGTCAAAAAAATAAAAAATTTTTTGTCAAAGTAATAAGGATATTTTTGCTGGGTAGGGACTCCCTAATCACTTTAGCGGTATGAAAAATAGATAGTACCCGATTCTCAGACCTACTGAATACACCTATAAAATTTGGTAAAAATCGGTAAAGCCGTTTCGGAGGAGTACGGTAACTAATATTGTGACATGGAAATTTTATATATAAGACCGCAAACAGACATCGTTTGGCCTTGTGACTTATTGATGGTCTTTGCAAATGCCAATCTAATAGGAAATTGAACGCGTTTGAATTAAATTGGCTTGTCTGTGAGAATCATTGGAATTCATGGCAATAAAACTTTTTCGTTTCGGAACTTGCCATTCAAAATGGTGGCTTCGATAATGTTTTTCATCAATTTTTTAATTACCAATCGCGTACTATTGCATAGCCGTGGTAGGTTCAAATTCCGAAGTAAAATAATCGGTGATCCAACTTTCAGTCGTAAAATGTGTGGTGGCATGCCTGGCAAATCCAGTGAGTTTAAAAACTCTGCTGGATAGTTTACAACTTCGTTGGTATCACGAACTGTATCGATCGATTTGTATGATATTAAGTCGCCTGGCAATATCTGTTTTATCTTGAAGTTTAATTCATCAACGTCCACGTTTTTTTTTGCTGCTAATGGCTCTTTCTCCCAGCCACCCATGATTTATGTATTGTATGTGTACATCTGGAAATACGCGGTCAATGAGAGCATTTTGGGAATCAACGATAGTGCAGAAATTAGGGGGCAGTTTTATGAATTCAGTATTTTCATAGACAACTTTTCATATCATAGCAAGTTTTCTTTTTAAAAATATAAAAAAACTTATGTCAAAAAAATAAAAAAATTTTTATTAAAGCAATAAAGATATTTTTGCTGGATAGGGACACCCTAATCACTTTAGCGGTATGAAAAATAGATAGTAGCCGATTCCCAGACCTACTGAATACGCATCTAAAATTTGGCAAAAATCGGTAAAGCCGTTTCGGAGGAGTACGGTAACTAACATTTTGACAATGTTAATTTTATATATAAGATATATATCATATATATCAGTAAATAAATATATATCAGATTTGGTGATAAAATGTACTTTTTTCCTTGTTTTGAAGTCATTATATATAGATTTTTTTCTTTTGGAACTAGTTTAATTATTTTCCATACATTTGTATGGAAATATCGTACGAACGAGTTAAGGCTTTTTTGGAACGAGTTAAAGCTGTTGACCGAGGTATAATAGATATAACCGATTTTATATATCAATTGTGCATTTATGCATGAAATATATATTTGATAGCATTATATAATATCATATATAATTGGAGAAAAATATTCATTTCAGTTGAATGTCAGAAAAGAAAAGGGATCAGAGCTTTGTATCGAACATTTATAATTGGTTTGTAATTGTATTGTACATCAATAATTGTAATATGGAGATATTTATAATGATTATTTGTTTAGCGTAGTGCAGACTTGTAAATTTGACTGTCAATTTAGTTGCACTCTCTTGCTCAAATTATTCTAGCGACGAGTAAACCGCTTATCACACGTGATTCCTAAGTATTTAATGCTGTTCTCCCAATTCACTAACTCTCAGTCTCGGTAGATGTTGTCTATGTTTACAAGTAATAAATAGAACTTTAGTTTTCTGATTGTTAATTTTTATTTATCACTAATTAAATAAAAATAAGTGACAATATAACCTGGAACTTGAGCATTCAAAGTTTGTGCAGCCTTGGCTTCTTGTGGATAAACACGATTAGTCATCGCTTCTAATTTGAGAGGCACTAGTTCTAAGCCTGGCACTTGCAGTAAAAATTCGATTATTCCAAAGACCACTGATGAAGAGTACTTGGCAATACTCGAAACAGCGTTGTATGGTCAGCCAAACTTTAATAAAATTAAAATAAATTTTTGTGTTTGTCCTTTATTTCTTTCTTTGCTATTCAAAATCCCTCTAAATTTATTAGATTAACATTATTATTTAATAGATTAACATGCTTCTGCAGCCTATTGGTCACATCTCAGGCAAGTTTATCGGAACATAACAAGCAAGTGTTATCTGCGTATAAGTATAGCGCCGAGGGACTTAGCATTGGGTTGTCAGACGTGGAGATGTTGTACAACAAGGGGGAGAGTAAAGATCCTTGAGGAACACCGGCTTCTATTCTTCACACTGACGAGATGATATTGTTGATCGTTACACAGAACAATCTCTCGCGCAGGAAGCTGCCGAGGATTTTGATAAGCCCGTCTGGGATACCAAAACCAGACATTTTAACTATCAGACCATCTTGCCAGACCTTGTCAAATGCCTTGGTGATGTCAAATGTAATCGTACCCGTTGATTCTCTTCTGCTAAGGGCTGACTTTATCATCTGAGCCGTTCGCACCAGCTGCAGTTCTGTGGAGACGTCTTCCCTAAAACCAAATTGCTCGTCAGGGAGAATATTCAGCGAGTCCACCGAAGTTTTGAGTCTGTCTAGAATCACTTTTTCGGCCAACTTACCTAGAGCTGACAGTAAGCTTATGGGCCGCGAGTTCTGCGGGAACTTCGGATCCTTACCGGAT